TACGCGCGCTATATATACGGAGAGTGCTATTATACGCGCAAATTTAAATCTATGTACGCTGCGCCTACTGCGCGAACTCACTGCTTAGAGATGCGAACCGTTTGCCGATCCTAACATTTTTTGGCCCGCGTTACGGTTAATTTGGGCCGAAAACTGTTAGGATCGGCAAACGGTTCGCATCTCTAATACTACTGTATATTGATGTTTTATTATGTATATTTGTTATTATAGTGGTACATGAATTTACGTACGTCCGTGTCAAAACTCGTGCCAATTGGACAGTCATTAACCGTCAATTGGCACTGGTATACAGCCCAACACGAACCAAAAATCCGTGCCAATTCGAGCTCTCACGTACAAAACCCGAGCTTGATCCGTGCTATCGAAACCCGTGTCATTTTTCTTATAGGGAAGCCGCATTTTGTTTTAAATATTTTTATTTTTTATTTTTTTTAGAAAAGCCTTATCGTTATGTGATACACCTTACTAGGCAAAGTAGGCAAAAACTTGCATTATCAAATCGATTTTAAGCCATGCGCTTTTTTGGATATCATGCGACATCGATATCGATATAAATCAATTGACAAAATGGGTAAAACCGAGGAATAACTTGTACGTACAGTACGTACGCATTTATAAATGGTCCCGTCCTTTATAGCGAGACACAAAGAGATTCTCATGTATAAATAGAGAACGTACGACATTCGATTATCTTACTACATAAGACAATTCTATTGAAGGAAATTCCATTATAGGGATTTACACGAGTATGGTGCACAATACCGATACCAATTTAGCAAATTCCATTTATAGGGATTTACGCGAGTATGGTGCACAATACCAATTTAGCAAATTCCATTTATAGGAAATACAGGTTACAACATGTTTAAAGATTGTGGCACATCATAATTACTATAAGTGGAAAATTTTAAAATTCTTTAAAGTCTTTGCTGCACTATCTTGAAGAACTGTTTCATGCTGATTGAACAATCAAATTGCAGATTCAATCAGCTTAACGAAGCAGGAAAATGGAAGTACAAAAAATTCAATTTACCTATAGTACTTTTCAATATTATTATTATTAAGGGGTTTCATAATTTTGATTAAAATAGATGACGGATTTGTTTTCAAATAATGTTGCATCAATTTTTATTTCTTTTTTCGATAGATTTGAATTAATGACTGGGGAAGTTGGATTTAGATAATTCTTCCATTTGGCACAGGGTGTGACGAATCATTCATGGGACGAATAAAAATTTATTATTAGTTAATCATTATTCATTACATAGGATGATTCTTCACACCCAAAGTGCCAAATGGAAGGGGCGAAACTTACTTATTTCGTCAAATGGGAGTCTTTAAATACTCCCATTTCATTTTCTGACTTCAAAATTTTGATACACAAATATGATTTTTTAAATTCTAAAATACGCTATCTTTTTTTTTTTAATTCTGAAGCCCTTATTAGTTAATAGTCATTTTTTTGTAGTTTACTTTTTCATTAATCAAATTTCCAAATTTTGAATGGCAGAACTACATGGGCTTTAGCGAATCTTAATATGGAAGTTTTGATTTAGGTGACAATATTTCGTTCGTACATTGTATTATTTGAAATGCACCCATATAGTAATCTACGAATATGATCGCGAATTATTATATACATCGTTAATTAACCGTAAATAGATATTGTCAAATTTGTTCTACAATATATGAGCAAACTTTAGATATTTTGAATTATTTGTTTTGAATAAGAAAATCGACAAATACGTAAATTGCCATTTAAAGAAAACTTGTATAACAAACATCATTGGTCATAATTTATAAACCGAGACCTTTTGCTCAGGATAAAAAAAAAATACAACCAAAAAAAAAAACAAAAAAAGATCCATAATTGAAGTTTCAAAATCAACTAATTTTATAAGAAACATCGAGGCAAAAGGGTCTAACAATCAAAATCTATGGGTGTTGATATTTGCACAGATCATAATTCTTATTCAGGATCGCCTCCTTTGGCTTATAATAGCACTTCAAATGTTAGATCACGTATCTCTCGTTCAAATTCGTATCCTCCGACTTCTAATAACAAGCCAAGTGTTAGTCTTGAAGTTTGTACTTCATACGAATATCAACCGTTTGATGCTACTTGTACTTCATCTGAGTTTCAACTGTCTAACGATATCAACGTCATCGTTAATAATTTGCCAGATGATGCCGTTCCGCATATTCAAATTGTACAATATAATTCCGAAAATAGATTCAAAGGTTCAGGAAATGAATTCGATATTTGTAGTCCAAGGAATGGATCTGGTATTTCCTCTAATTTAAGAGAAAGTTCCAGAGATTATAATTTAAAAGATGAATCCGATAATAATAATTTAAAAGATGAATCCGATAATAATAATTTAAAAGATGAATCCGATAATAATAATTTAAATGATGGATCCGATAATAATAATTTAAATGATGAATCCGATAATAATAGTTTAAAAGATGGATCTGATAGCAATAATATAGAAAATAGATCCGATGATCATAATTTAGACAATGGGTCCAAAGATTATGATTCAAGAATTGAAACTAAAGAAATTAGACCTGAGGATCAAAATCCAGGAAGTAAAAATGGAACCAATAGTCATAATTCAGGATGCTACAATTCAAGTAATGGATTCACAGATTTACGATTTGTATTCAAATGTTATTACGAAAGATACAAACTCTTTAGAGCTTCTAGTTCAAATTTTATTCACTTATACGTGAATTTTATATAACGTTCTTATTAGATTGTATTTTTGATTATTATTTTTCCCGATTTTATGTAAAAAAAAAAAAACCTGTACATAAAAAAAAAAGTTTTTATAAAAGCAAAATTTTAAGCCAAAACAGAGAGATTAGAGAGTTTGTGTTATATAAAACAAATGTCAAATTTTGCAGTGCAAAATGAATTAAAAATTTCAAAAACCTGATGCTCTCCACATTTTGAACATGAAATTGTAGTTATATAAATAGCTGCATCTCACGTATAGGAATTATTTATAGAAACTTTACATCACATGACTTTACTTATCAATTAGTGATTTATCAAGCGTAAAAGTTATTGAAAATAACTAAGGTTATTGCTAAATCTCACCGCAACGCTATATATCTCAAGGGGAATTCTAAGTAAAAATGGTAGAATCCCCAAAAATCCTACCCTAACTAAAATTTAAACCAATATACCTAACCCTAACCCTAAATTTTAGCAAAAAATTATATTCAAAATTTTTAATATATTAGAGAAAAAAAATAGCATATTTTCTTAAAAAACTATGTTTTTTTATAAGAAATATACTTAGAATAACTAGTGGTAATCATCATCACCCCTAGATATATTTAGAGTTAGGGTGCAGTTGTAGAGATTTTTTATAATGTAGATTAGATATAGGGTCCCGAATTTAGTTTTTACTGTATAAGGTTTTTGGGTCCTGAACATTTTTACTTAGAGTACCCGATCCAGTTTACTTAGTATATCTTTGAGATATAAGCACTGTAGTGATAATCACCACTGGTTATAGTTAGTAATATTCTTTTTATAATATAAGAACTTTTTCGATATTATTTTAAATATAGTTCAGAAAAGCAGGATTTCATCCTTAACTCGAACCAATTAGAGCAGAAAAAAAAACTAGATTGATTTAAAATTGAGATTAGATGTCTAATTTCAAATAAAATTAGTAGAAGGTTTTAGAACAAATGATTTATTTTATTTTATTTTTATTTTTTTTGGATGGTGACCTCATTGGCCATGTTGGCATTTGTATTTATTAAAGATTATTGTTTTTGTTTCAATGAGAGTACATAAAGCCACATGTGCACTTTTGGTGTCTAATTTAAGTAGTCTGCATCTAAGCCATTTTACTTATAGTTCTATACTATCTGCTGTATCTGCAACTCAAACTACAGGGCAACTACCTATTTAAACCCTCTAATTGTAACTTACTTCCACATGTGGAACCTCTAATAAACCAAACTATATTAGGCCCTAGGGCTAGTTTATCTCTGAGGTAATATTTGGCTAAGATAGTAAGTACATGTCTCACACATGTAGCAACTACTTAGACTTACTAGTAATTACACCACAGCTTCACCCATGTACTTGGGGTTAGAGCTAACTATTACAGTCATACCTCTTTATAATCACACTTTTGGAACCATAGGAACTTTTTTAAAAAAATGTTCTTATAAAGAGGTGTGCTTATATAGAGGTCTTTTGTTATATATTAGACAGTAATTGGGCGAAGATATAGATGTGATTATAAAAAGGTTTTTATATGATGTGATTATATAGGGGGTGATTATAAAGAGGTATGACTGTAAACCCCTACAATTACCTGCTCTTGTTTAGTTCACACAACCCAAATATCCACATTCAGACCCCCTTCTTTTCTAGATTCTTTATTAGTTTCTCTCTTGCTTTCAGCTAGCAACCCAGAAAAGTCGGTCTGCTTAGGCTTTATAGTTGCCCTTCTCTTAGTATATACTTTCAGAGTATATGGGGTCTTTGCTTTGAAAATGACCTTATGGAACTATGTAGATTTTATGAATAAAAATTAAAATTTCTAGCTATCCAGTAATCCAATTCAAATAAACTTTTTTTTTTATTTTGTAGAGCTTAGTGAGTTCTACAAAATAAAAAAAAATTATTTGAATTGGATTATTAGATGGCTAGAAATTTTAATTTTAATTCATAAAATCTACATAGTCC